AGTTTTCTGGGTTTGGCAAGTTATTATAAGAAGTTTGTGAAGGACTTCTCGAAGATTGCAGTACCATTGACACAACTGACTCAAAAGGGAGTGACATACGAATGGACCGAGGGTACAGACGCAGCCTTCCAGGGACTCAAGACGAGGTTAGTTATAGCACCAGTTCTTGTACTACCATCAGGTAATGAGGAATTTCAAATTTATAGTGATGCGTCACATAAGGGTTTGGGTTGTGTATTAATGCAATGGGGTAAACTCATAGCATACGCATCTCGTCAATTGAAACCCCATGAGAAGAACTATCCCACCCATGATCTAGAATTGGCAGCCGTAGTATTTGCCTTGAAGATTTGGTGTCATTACTTGTATGGTGGCTTGAGTTATTGAAAGACTACGATATGCAAATTCAGTACCATCCGGGTAAAGCAAACTCGGTGGCCGACGCTTTAAGCAGGAAATTAGTTGGGAGTTTGGCATGTTTAGTAATGATTGCAGTGGAGCCGACTATTATTGAGGAAGTGAAGACCAGGCAGATGGAGGATGAATTCTTAAAAAGGGTGATTGATGAATTTGTCACCAAGCCGAGGTCAAGGTACACCGTTGAGAATCAAGTACTTAGGTTTGAAGGAAGATTGTGCGTGGCCGACGTCCCCGAGTTGAAAAGAAGAATTTTACAGGAAGCTCATGGTTCCAAATTTGCCATTCATCCAGGAAATACCAAGATGTACCAAAACGTGAAGCAAACTTTTTGGTGGCCAAATATGAAAAGAGAGATAGCCGAGTTCGTATCTCAGTGTCTATATTGCCAACAAGTGAAAGCAGAGCATCAGAGGCCAGCAGAACTTCTTCAACCCTTGTCAATTCCTGAGTGGAAATGGGAGCACATCTCCATGGATTTTGTGGTTGGTTTGCCGAGGACACAAAAAGGTATGGATTCAATTTGGGTTATAATTGATAAGTTAACTAAGTCAGCACACTTATTGCCTGTTAAGACTACATTTAATGCCGATCGACTTGCTTCATTGTATATGACCGAGATTGTGAGACTTCATGGAGTACCGATATCCATTGTCTCAGACCGAGATCCGAAGTTTGTTTCTAGATTTTGGCAGAGTCTACAAAGAGCTTTGGGAGCCGAGTTGAGGTTTAGCACAGCTTTCCATCCCCAAACCGATGGACAAACAGAGAGAACAATTCAGACACTTGAAGATATGCTTAGACTATGTGTATTGGACTTCAAAGGAAGTTGGGAAGTGCATTTGCCATTAGTGGAATTTGCCTACAACAACAGTTATCAAGCTGGCATTGGCATGGCGCCGTATGAAGCTTTGTATGGAAAGAAGTGCAGATCGCCGATATGTTGGACCGAGGTAGGAGACAAAGCTTTTATTGGTCCCGAGTTAGTTCAAATGACAACCGAGAAGATTAAGCTTATCCAGCAAAGAATCAAAACTGCTCAGAGTCGCCAAAAAAGTTACGCCGACCAGAGAAGAAGAGAGTTAGAATTTGGAGTTGGGAATCATGTATTCCTGAAGATTTCGCCGATGAAAAGAGTTTCAAGATTTGGGAAGAAAGGTAAATTAGCACCTCGTTATATTGGGCCATTCGAAATTCTTGAGAAAGTTAACCCCGTTGCTTACAGACTTGCTTTGCGCCAGAACTAAGTCAAGTCCACAATGTATTTCATGTTTCGATGTTGAGGAAGTATATTCGAGACCCATTGCATGTGATTGATCATTTCGGGATTGTGATTAATGAAGATTTGGGTTACGAGGAGAAGCCGATACGGATTCTTGATAGGCAAGTGAAGCGGTTAAGGAACAAGTCAATACCGATGGTGAAAGTTGAATGGAAAGAACATTACATAGGAAATGGAAGAAGAAATGAAAATCCGACATCCGGAGTTGTTTGTGGGGCAAGGTAACTCAAGTTTGGGGACCAAATTTCCTTAAGGGGGGAAGGATGTAACAACCCTCACTTTATCTTAGTCATGCTCGCAAGCATTCACACGAATTTGTCTTGTTAAGTTTGCATCTACAAACCTTGATTCGTTTCGTCTAAGTGTTGCTTGCATGTTTTGTTTCTTGCTTGGTGTGTGTGGCCGACGTCATCTTAAGCCTAGGTCACACCCTTGAACCTCTTATATCTAGGACCATCTTGGAATCCACTTTGGTTGACCTCCACCTTCGCCCTGGCATATTGGCCGAGATGTCGTCATCTAGGCCGAGGTGTGCGTCACCTAGGCCGAGATATGTTTCATCTAGGCCGAGATGTTATCATCTAGACACCCTAGGTCTTTGATTCTTGCACCTAGTGATCTTGTTGCTGAACTGGTATGACCTAGACCGAGGTGTGACACAGCTAGGCCAATTGTTATCCATCCTAGCCGAGATCATTAAAACCTTCTTGCCGAAGCCTATGTCTTGATCCGAGGTCATTACCTTGTTAGAGTGCCCATGTCATCTTGCTTGTTGAACACCCTTTGTCATGCTCTTGTCTTGTCATTCAGTCACCTTTTGGAGGAAACCCCAATCCGGTAGTGCCACGTACCCCAGCAGAGGGTTAAGTCAGCCGGCAGTGGGAGAAAACATATCATTGTGTCATATTTTGCATGGTAGAGAGAGAAGCTCTAGGAAGAAGAAGAAGTTCTTATGAAGAGAACTAGATTTCCAAGCTTGATCTTCGCACCTTGAACCGTTAGATCTTGATTCTTGATTTACTCTTGTTTTGAGGTTAGATTCTTGATTTACTTTTGTTGTTCTTCATGTTTATTCAATCACATTGCATGATCTAGCATGATTCATGAGCCATGCATTGATTTAAAGCTTGTTTTAGAAAGAGAAAATGATGTTCTTGTGTTCTTGAAATAAAACCATGTTTTGATCCGAAAGTTTGTATCAAGATCTATGTTTTTGTGTTTGTTTTCATAAGATCTTCAAGTATGGGTACCCAGGTCCATGTTTTCGAACTCATCTCATAAAATCTCAGATTTTGAATAAAGAAGTTACGATTTTAGAATTCATGTTCTTTATGTTCTTCATGTTCATATTCTTCATGTTCTTCAAGGGAAACCCAGATTTTCCCCAGACTTCGTTTCCCTGAATGTGGTCATCGGGACCATACCTCGGCTAAGAGGTGTGGGACCTCGACCAAGGCCTGGTTGGTACCCGGTATGTTTTTCCCGAGATGAAAAACAGTATTTTAACTTCCAACATGTTTTGCTTTGACTCGACCTAGTCATGAAAGAAATGCAGAGATCATTTACACTCATGCAAAGCTTGTTTCAGGAATGCATTTCATACCCATCTTTAAGCATCTCTTCTTGTCTTCTTGAAGTGCATTCAGTAGACTGTATTATGTGTTTGTAGGACTTGGACCCTTGCTTTAATCCCGACGTTTGAAGAGCTATGTGAGTGGTATTTTTAATAAAGTTATGTTATAAAGTTTAATAAAGTTTTACTTGTTTCGTTTTGGAAAAGTATTTGTTCAAGCATGAATGATTATCCCTAATTTTTGTATCAAGTATTATATTGTTTGATGACATTCTGAGAAAGTCCTTAATGCCAAGGGACTATAATGCAACTGCACCCTTGTCTTGAAAGTCCTTCCTTAGTGTCAGGGGACTATAATGCAACTACACCCTTTGTTTTGCCACTGACGGTTTTCCGCGTGGGTTTGTTTGTCCGGAATGTCATCGTTTGGTATTATGTAGATGTTATTAACATCCAAGCAGCTTTGAAAGACTTGATAGATGAACTTGGTTCACCCCTTGATTTTGTAGAAGTTATGTATTGTTTGATAAAGATCTCGGATATCATTCATTTAACCCTTTATTTCTAATATCATTCACTGAGTACCCAAGCTCACCCTCTCCTTATATATATGTAGGTGACGAGTAAGAAGGCGATGACGCCTAGTTGTGTTTTGCAAGATGTTTTTGGATTCCCATTTTGTAGCATCTTGAAGACTATGCTTCTTAGCTTTGTATTTCATGTATTTTGTATATGTCGGCTTGAGAAGCCTTTTGATCAAGATGTATCATGTACTTATTTTTATTTGTATTCAAGTTGTAAAACTATGGTAAGATGTATGTCATTTCATTTGATCTATGCACAGCTCCTATGGACTACTTAGATTTAAATTTATTGCTTCCGCACATGTAAGCCCCATATGTATACTCTGATTGTGTGTGAATCTTTGTAAATTGGCCTTTGGTAATCTCGAATTATTGGCCATCATGGCTTCTTAGCTTTGTATTTCATGTATTTTGTATATGTCGGCTTGAGAAGCCTTTTGATCAAGATGTATCATGTACTTATTTTTATTTGTATTCAAGTTGTAAAACTATGGTAAGATGTATGTCATTTCATTTGATCTATGCACAGCTCCTATGAACTACTTAGATCTAAATTTATTGCTTCCGCACATGTAAGCCCCATATATATACTCTGATTGTGTGTAAATCTTTGTAAGCTGGCCTTCGGTAATCTCGGATTACTGGCCATCATGGCACCATTCTACTAGGGGCAGAATGGGGTCGTGACAGCCTGAGTCTCAATTTTTTTTTTTTTTTTGAAATAATAGGACACATTTGGACATGTGTCTATCCCATGTTGAGAAATGTCCGACAAGTATAAAGAAGGTGTCCAATGTGGACATGTCAACTTATTAGAATGTCCAATTGTCAGGCCACAAGCTACAAGGCAACCTCCACAATTTAATAAAGTAATATATATTTAAAGTTCAATTAAAAAATGGTGACAAAAATTGTTCTTGCCATTAGTGTCATGGTAAGGTTTTTATTCTTCTTCTTCTTCTTCTTCTTCTTTTGGGTCTTAATGTTACCTATTTTCAATGTCTGCTAGTTAAATTCACCAGTCAATTATGACTAAAATCATAGGTAGACCAACTATTTTCAAAACCAAAAGCAACAGTATAAGCAAGATGGCCTTAACATTATGAGTACATCAAAAAAGAAAAGAGAGAAAGGAAACAATTACCAGCCTCAAAAGCATAGTCACTTGTCATTGCATCCTTCACCACTGCAACAGTGAGACCAGCATTTGTAGTGGCATTGCCACACACATAAATGCCACGTGGAGAAATTGAAGCTGATGCTTGCAGTAGTTGGCTCTTTCCCAATCCAGGATCACCTAGCATTGTGAATTTTAGCAGTAATCAAGTTTGTGTTGCCCACACTGAAGTTGCTTGCAAGTTGCACTCATATCATTGACTTGTAAATGAATCAAGTTTTTTTTTTAGGGTTTTGCATACCAACAATTATGACATGAATGTCTCCTCTGACAGGGACTTTGTTCTGATCCATTGAATGCTTTCGCACCCCTCCAAACAGTGCCAATGTAAGTCCAGCTGTTGAGAGAACAGTGAGCTAGTGTCAATGCACGACATCATCATTTTTGCTGGTTAACCAAGGGCATAATGTTACATAACACTACATGAAGATGATATTTTGACTTTTTAAGGAGCAGCATAGTAGTAATGGCTTATGGAATGCTATTGTGCCTGTCTTAAATGAATGTGAAAACTGGCGGATTAAAGGACTGTTTTGTAGCATTTGACTGGAAAATTATTATGACAAAATGTTACGGAAAAGATGAATGGGCATCTGATTTGAGACATTTCAACAAAAGGAAACATTTTTTATATATACCTTTAACGAGCTCATGTCCATAGATGGAGGGGCAAATAGATTGAAGTATTTGACGGAAAACATCTGAACCATGTTCCTCCGAGAACTTTACAATAAATTCCAAATCTTTTGGAGAAAATGTAAATAAATCAAACATCTCTGTAGCTTTAGCATCAGCATTTGTATCTTTCGAATCCTCAGACACAGATTGCGACTTGGAATTTTTAATTGAAACTACTTCCAAGTACAAATAGTATAATCCTTGATTCTTGCTTTTCGATTTTCCTGAAATATTCAAACCATGGTTGAAGTTACTTTTGGTAGAGGTAATATAGTTCAGTGGTTCAAACTAGATATCAGTGCTACAATCCATCATGAGTAAAGTAATTTCAATATAAAATCCAGAACATTATGGTGCAATTGTGGAAGAACAAAATTGTAAAGTGAAATAACCATATCAATGACCAGTGGTTTGCATCACATTTCTATTGATGATACAAGTACATGACCAAGCATGTTATCTTCCAGTATAAAAATTTTACTCATGTGCAGTTGGAAGTGCAGAAGAGTCATCAGTTTCCCAGCAATGAGCCACTAACTGGTGTGAAAGAGATACAGCTTAATCTCATTCACATTATAGAACTCAAACATTTTGACATAAAAATTATAAAATAAAATAAAAAGACTAAACACTGATTTCTCTACAATCCATCTTTTTTTTTTTCCCTTCAAAATCATGTTGACTAAAATACACAACTCCTCAAAGTCATTGAAAAATAAAACAAGTAGGGTTCTAATGTTTTGAAAAGTCACACGTGCATATAATGTTGGAAATCAAATAATGAATGTAATCATGTGTAATATATCTCACATTTATGGAAACTCCTTTAACATTTTTTCTGTGTAATTAGGGGACTACATGCATGTGCATCCATAAAATGATATTATTGCAACAGATACCATACCAAAGTGTGATATACAAATAGATAAGCAGTTTATTCTCCTCTTCAATCTTACAGAGAAAAAATTTTCATATCATTGATTGAGGCACTACACTTTGTTGTGCTCTCAAACCCTAAGAGCATCCACAATAATGTTGACTATTTAATGTTCTACAGGCATGGAAAGGAAATTATAAATCACTAGGCAACACATCAATTAGGTGACAAACCATATGGATGATGACTTAAATTACATACACAGTAACATTGAGAACCAGAAGGGTTGCATCAAAAAACATATTGTCGTACCTCCTCCAATATCCATGTAATTGTTTATCACTCTTATGATGCCAGTAACTGTAACCACATCTCCAGGGATACATGCATCTACAAGATCTTCAGTCAGTTCACATTCTACAGTTCGAGGCACCCGGCCTTCTTCATGATGTTCAGACTTCAGCAGCTCCTGAAGTCTAGGAAGAGAGAGAGAGAGAGAGAGAGAGAGAGAGCTCTTTTATTAAACTTAAAAACTATAAAACAAAGTAAGATGCAAGAATAACATCAAAGATGGCATCAAGGTTCTTACCTTATTTTCTGAAAGTCTATGAGTCGAGCAGTAGATCTAACTGGATTAAAAGTTCTGCTCTTGCAGCCATGCATACCGCAAGTTAGTGGTGGTGAAAATTTTCCATCAGGAAAGTTGCATGTAATGTCAGCTCTACACTTGCTGCAATAAAAACTCATTTGTACCACAAGAGGCCTCACAGTGCTAACTTTTACAACGGTACCACGCACGGATACAAGCCTGTCTGTCATATAAGCAAATAATATCATATCTTAATTTCTTCAACTTTGATTTTCCTGGGCCGATATAAGCTGATTTTTTTTTAAACTGAAACTTAGAGTTACCAATATAAGCTGTTTTTAAGTTTTTCAGAGCAATAATTGATTCAGGGTAGTTGTGCAGACGGATGTTTATCTTTGCACCGTCCTCCAACATGTTATTCCCACATTTAGTAGACAGAACCTGCATCCAGCGCAACGTTTGTAATAACCAAGGCAAGAACAGTGCATATGTAAAAAGTGAAATATCAATCAGACCCTCCAATTTTTACTTTGTACCTTGTGAACTGCAGCACTCATGCATGACAAAGCTTCCTTGGGATTTTCCTCCAAAGCTGCATAAAAGTCCTCAAGTTCACATATTTTTCGAAACTGTTGGAAGTCTAGTGACAGAAAATATATGTCATCATCATCTTTTACCTGCTGACATACTTCAAACATCAATTTCCTCAAATTGGTGAAATCTCTGAAACCATAACTATAAGTAAATTCTAGTTGAAGACTTTGTCAACATTGGAAACCATGGGTGTTGGAAAATATAAAATTAGCAAGGAGATGGGAAATACGATTAAGTGAGCAAACAATACACATATATAGCAAAAGTGATTCACTTGGGTATGGACACTTCAACGGCATACATCCCTCGTAGAAAGGGTAAATTTCTCTTCATGCCTTGGCATGAAACAATATTCTTTTTCTTTGTAAGCTGATTTATTCTTGCAATTACTGCAGTGTAATATAGGGATTGTTTAGATCGAACGACACAATTCACTCTTCTCAGCTGAATTTTCATAAGCCTTTTTAGAGCATCTCCAAACCTTACTCTCTTTTTATCATCAAAATTGAGTGAAAAGGTTTGGTTAAAAGGTTAATCTGGCATGGAACACTCCAATCCTTACTTTTAAAAATTTTCTTCAAATTTAAGTGAAGGATTTGGTTCATTCTTAATTTTGGTGAAAATTTTGCCTCTTTCTTGATTTAATACAAGTTCCATTAAATGAACAGATCTCGCTCTTTATTCATCAAATTAAATAATTGGTAAGGGATTCGAGATGCTTAACACCATTTTTTTCCCACAAACAGTCATTCAATCGATAGCTATAACTCATCAAACATGTTTCACGATCTCACCAATTCTACAATATCAAACTCCACACGTATGTTTCTGTATACATAGAGAGAGAGAGAGAGAGAGAGAGAGAGAGAGAGAGGAAGACCTGAGAAACTAGATCGAGTCCTGGTGGAGTAGAGAAGAAGGCAACGAGCTTCGATGCGAGATTGAACTTGACCTTCGATTCATTGGCAGACAAGTCGATATCGGGAAAGTATGTGGCCAAGATTTTCGCAATGTCGATATTCTCCTTCGATCGATACTTGGAGTTCGAGTTCATGCTCTCTCTGTGAGTTCCGTACATCTCAAATCGGTGGTGACTCAGTGACTCACTCTGCGAATCAGCCCTGAAATTCGCTCTCTGGTTTTTGGCGGGAGAGAATACAACGGAGAAGAAGGATATAGGAAAATGAGAGAGCTGTGAGCGGTACTTGAGGCGTATCCTAGAAGGTGGGTGTTGGTCTTTACTAACATGCGCGCGATTGCTAATTTGCCACAATTGCCGTTTGGAAATTTTAAAATGCTTCACAAAAAATATTTTGGAGAAATATTTAGGCCAAATTTGGGAAGACTAAAAAAGTGTACTTTTTGTCTTTTTGGCTTAAAAATTGAGGTTGAAAATATGGATGTTTGGGTTAACTTTTTGACTTTTTATTGAAAAATGTGTAATAAAAAATTGTAAAAATTGATTTGTAGGAAAAAATTTGAATTGAGAGTAAAAATTTGAATTGGGAGTTGTGCAGCCGTAATTGTTGACTTTTGGTGAATAATGTTAACTTTTTAGCTTTTTGAGTAACTTTTTGACTTTTTGACTTTTTTGGATCTTCCCAAACTTGGCCTTAGTTTTATTACTACTATATAATTAAAAAAATTAAAATGCACACACAAATTCAAAAAATATATGGGAAATTTTATTTACACACCATGTTTTTCTCAGTATGCATTATTAGAACATTAACTTTTTATTACAATAATAACTTTAAGTAAAATTAATATTAAGTAAAATAATTGTGTATATTCTGCCAATTGTCTATTTACACAACCATTAACGAGTTCAAATTAGGCTCCGTTTGGCAAGAGCTAAATGGGGTTTTTTTGACTATTTTAGTCACAAAAAACAAAATAAGCTATTTTAGCCACAAAAAATAAAATATCATATCCAACCCATAATCATTACATTCTTCTCTCACAAAAAAAGTCAAAAAAGTCAAAAAACTAAAAAATCCTTCCCAAACCAAACTTTTTAGCCTAAGCTAAAATAGCCAAAAAAACCAAAAAACTAAAAAGTCAACTCACTTCCCAAACGGAGACTTAGTTGAATTTGTTTAGTATAGAAGTCTGAACTTATTAATTTTGTTCAGTATCAATAGTTTGGAATTTAACTTGTTTAATTTTAATTAGTTATAGTATTGAACCAAATTCAAAATCAAAACAATTGTTTATCATGAAAGTATGAATTTATTGATTTTGTTCAACATAAATAGTTTTAAATTTAATTTGTTTGATTTTATTTAGGTCCCGTTTGGGAATATATAATTTTAGTAATTTTTTAATTTTTTACGAAAAGATGTACAGAAAAGTAAATAAAGTGATATAACAAGACTTTTTAAATTTTTTAGCTAAAATGTATGATTGACAAACGAGAGAACTTAGTTATAATATTATATCCAGACAATCAATGCACTAAACCAAATTCAAAATTGAAACTGTTATGGGAAGGCGAGAATCACAAATTTTCACATATTTTCGAAAGTGAGAATCGAAAATCTTTGCCCAGTAGTTTCTTTAGTGTGATGTCAATTGATGTACTGTTACGGTGCTGTCGGCAAGAGTAATTTTTTCAGTCTACTTTGCAAGGGTTGTTTCTCCAGTGCCACCAATTATGTGTCGTGTTATTAGGTCAAGTTTGGTAACTCTTAAAAAATTCAAAAAGTCAAAAAGTCACTATTCTATTTAAATTACATCATCTTATTTAAGTCGCATCACCTCTCTAACACATCACTTCAAACCCAACCCATATTTCATAAAAAGTCAAAAAGTGCACTTATTTAGTCTTCCTAAACTTGGCCTTAGTCTCTTTCGATGTACCTCTTTATTCCGGACATTAGGGTGTGAACCTGGGTGGTGTGCATGGTGGTGTACACTCAGACCTATTTTTTGTGTGTTAGGATAAAAAAACGGAGATTGTGGGGGTGTTTTGAGCAAAAAAAAATAAATAGTTTGAAATGTTAAATGTGCAAAGTAAGTAATGGTATGTACTAAGATAATTTATGATGTGTAAATAGAATTTTTCAAAGTATATATATATATCAGCCAGGATAATTATTCAGTAATTTCGAAATATGGACTCGTGGTATTCTATAATATTGTGATTGGTGAAAAAGTTGGTAGGTAACGTATTGTGTTAGGTGATTAAGAAACATGAGATGATATATTAAATGATAATTGATTAAGAAGTATAGACACGTGATACTCCAAAAATATCGAATAATTTCCCACCAGGAAGTTATACTTTTATCTCCTTAATCATATATTTACACCACTTCATAACTTCTAAATAAAAAAATATTAGACTATAATACGCATAATTTAATATTATACGGGCATCATTAATGAAAATGATGAAACGATAATTATAACGGATATTTATCAATAAATCTCATATTACAAATAAGTACTTTAATTAGTCACAATTTTTTTTTATTGATTTGTTAAGTCCTATTAGTAGAGAGTTTCTTTTCATGTGATCATATTTTTAATTTTGGTAGTGTTTTGATAGATAGTTATACCATTTTATTAATGTGACAGGTATTAATATGACACTTCATTAATGAACATTCAAACAAAATTAAAAACTCTTTAGTGTATTTTTTTTAAATGTAATAACATGGCGGATATGATGTGACACTCCAAAACAATAATAACTCTTTAGTATACTTTTTTCAAATGTGACAACGTGACAGGTATGATGTGACACTCTAAAAAAATTAAAAACTCCTTAATGTCCTTTTTTTAAACGTGACATGTGACATTTCAACGTAGCGGGTATGATGTGACGCTCTAAAAAAAATAAAAAACTCTTTAGTATACTTTTTCTAAATATAACATTCTAATGTGACGGGTATGATGTAAAAAACTCTTTAGTGTACTTTTTCAAATGTGACATTCCAATGTGGCAGGTAAATGAGTCATTAAATATCCAAAATGACTAAATGGATCACAAGAAAAAATATAGAATTATATGGATTATAAATCTAAAATATGAGAATTATTGGTCAATCCCCTAAATTATAACCTTGTGCATCAGAGATGACTTTTATTCAAATCATTAATTGTTGGGGTTGAAGAATTATAAAGAAATATTAATTAGTTTATGTTTATTATATATATATATATATATATATGTATGTATGTATGTATTTCATAGGTATTGTATTAAGCCTTCCTTTGGCATATAACCTTTTTAAATTTTTTGATTAAAATAGTCACAAAAAAACAAAATAGGTTAAAAATCTAATAAGATAAAATGTCACATCCAAACCATAATTATTTCATTTTTTTTTCTCTCATAAAAGTCAGAAAATCTATTTCAAATGAGACTTTTTAGCCTCAGGCTAAAAGCTAAAAAGTCAAAAAGGCAACCTACATCCCAAGCGAAGCGTAAATGTTTTATTTTTGTTTCAACAAGCAATCTCTTACCTTAAGCCATCTCCAACACTTCACCAAATTCATCGGCCCACTAATTTGGTAGAGTTGTGGAAAAGTGCTTATAGCTTATGCCTCAACAGCTTATAGCTTATAACTTTCAGCTTAAGCTGATTTCCAGCTTATTCTTAAAGCATCTCCTGCCCCACTAAAAGAATAAGCTGATTTCTGACTTTCAAAAAGCTATAAATTATAAGCTATAAGCTAAACTAAACACATCAAAATAGTTTAAATTAAGCTGAAAGCTTAAATAAGCTGTAATTAAGTTCTGCCAAACAGACACATCGTCAAATTCAAATTTTGTAAAAAAGTACCTCTTTTTGTGCTCCAATGGTTTCACCAAACCTATATCAATCTGAGAAAATAACAAATGTTTTACTAAACTGAGGATCTGAGCGCCTTTCACCATTTTATTGTGTATGACAGTTGAGGATGGGACCCACCGGACGACCAGCCGAACGTCTGGCCAAATGTCTCCCGGTCGTCCTCTTCGTTGTTTCCATAAATATTGTTTGCAACCATATAGAGTATCGTCCAGCTTAATTTCTTACACTCCAATGTTTCCTCCATCAACCCTTTAACCTGGTAACCTGTATTTGTATTTCGTTCCATACCCTCTTTGTTTCCCATTTTTTTAATTATTTTTTATTGTCTCTTTGTTTCCTAGTCTGTTGTAAATAATGGAAGATGTTTCGAAACATAGGCATAAAACCATCTCCAACGGTTCACCAAACTTGATATCAAATTTAAATTTTAATGAAAAAGATACTGTTTGGTGCTCTAACGGTTGCACCAAATCGATATCAAAATGAGATTTCACCAAACGATTCATCAAACTGAGGACAGGCTTCGCATTTCACCAAAACACTGTACATGACTGTTGTGAGAGACGAACCGGTCAGTTGACCAACCAGTTGTCCATGAAAAAGTTCAAACAGTTCAACATTTCTAGTTCAAACAATTCAAAAAAAATAAAATAATAATTTGGCCGGCCGATCGACCAACCGGTTGCCCCAGAAAGAGTTCAAATAGTTCAGCATTTCTGGTTCAAACAATTCAAAAAAAAAATAAAAAATTTCCCTCACCGGTCGACCAACCGATTGTCCCGGGACAGATTTGGTGAAAGGTGAACCGTTGGAGCATCTGGTACCAAATTGGGAAAATTGTGATTTTTTTACTCAGATTTGGTGAAAAGTTTGGTGAACCGTTGGAGATGCTCTAAGACATCAAAAGTTCAAAAATTATCTGATACCCAACCTAATATTGCCTACTCAAAAATTAAGCTAAAAGACAGACTCAATATCGTCTGATCCTCTTCCTTGTTTGCAATCACAGAAAACATTATTGTTTTTTTTTTTTTGCATTGATTGGTCGACCGGCTAGTCGTCCACTAAGTCGACCGATGGTTTGATAAAAAGTCAAATTCTTTCGTTGGAGCAGGCGATATCAAATAGAAAAATTCGTCATTTTTTTATTTAAATTTGATAAAATATTTGGTGAACCGTTAAGGATGCCCTTATATGTCAATTTTTGCATGTGTCAATATTGTATGCAATTTAATTAGGTGGATAATGTATAAATAGGAGATTGCATATGACACAAGAGTGCAAATTACTTGATTTGTTTGCCTTGATGAAGAAGATTTTAAAAAAATTAACTATTAAAATGGAAAAGGTATTAGACAAATGTTATAAAAG